GACAGCGAGCCGCGCGCTCGCCGGCGTTAGGTCTTAGCTGCTATCGCTGTCGCATTATGCATATTGGAGCAGTGCTAGGCGCTCACTAAACATTTGCAGAACAAACGCAGAAAGCGACATCTTTCATTTAGAGTGGATCACCCTTAAAGCTCTGAATCCAGCTAAGGGCGCACCCACGCTCCCGCCTTTCCCCGGACACTCGCAGGGGAAAGTCACGGGGGCGGAGGCCGTGGCGCATCTCCGGCAGTCGAAGGCCTGGGCTCGATTTCATTTGCAGCGCCCTCGGAGAGCTCTGATAACTCAGCGCTGTGCCTACATCCCCGTTCAGCAAAAGTAATGACTCCACTGCTGTTGAAGCCACGTCGCGTCCCCTCAGACCTAGTGACCTGGGCCTGTGCATGGCGTCAGACCTGAGAAGTCCCTTCTGCTCCCGCGTTTTCTGCTCACCTCAATCCAGCAATCTGGACAGCACGGCATCTCCGTGGAGTCCCTTGTGCTGCTTTACCACACTTCCTTAACAGCGTTTCACAAAAACATGCGTAATTTACATCTAAAAATTAGAGCAGAACCTTCCTCGTGGGCTTGTGTGATGAGTGCGTGAGATAATGCTTGAAACAGGTACATAATACACATTTAAGAAATTATGATTGTGTTAAATTCCAGAGAAATTATATATGGCCTGAAATGACTTTGTAGTGTTTATTTACGTTAGTTTCAACGTTTCAAAGGTGCTTTTATACGCATCACAAAAGCATGGGGGTTATTAGGTCTATTCACTGCAGCAGGATAGAGGAGACCAGTTCTAGAGTCAGACATACCCAGTTCAGATATTGAGTACATTATTTAACTTCGCTAAACCTCACTCCTTATTCTCTGATAAGAACAGGGAGTTGTGAGGATTAAATGGAATAATGCTCAGCTAAGTGCTTAGCTCAAATACTAGCTTGATGGTGTTAAATGACCTGCCAACTCTCCGCAGATAGTGGGTTTAAGTGGCAGGGGCAAGATCAGAACCACCGAAGTTCAGGCTCATCCTTTACCCAGGTGGCCAAGTTCCCTCTGATGCCACGCTGTGCCTGTTCATTCTTACAGCTTTACACGCCAACCCGATTTTTTGTGTTTATAGGGGGATAGTAATAGTACTATGTCATAGGATTATGTTTCAAGCAATAAAGCTGTCCCTGCATTTAGCCGTGTATGGGCACACGTACCACCTAGTTATGGTTCACTGCTGCGACTCCCTCTTCTCCCAGACAGCGTAATTGCACAGGCTTACACACTCATTCTGCATATATTTATCATCTACCTACTATGTAAAGGCCGTCTCTTTGCATATAGCTAATAAAGTCTTCCCAGGATTTTACTAATCTGCCCCAAATAAAATAGTTCAGAAGAGTTTTCCAGCACCAGAATGCATTTCTTAAGAAAAAGACGCCTGACATCTTGGTTTTGCCTCAATTACCCCTCTGTTTCATTTGTTTTATACGCTAGTACCCTGGGCTCTGCCGGGGCTGCCCTGTACTGCATGGCAGTTATGGGATGGGTCTAAATTAAAGGGGCAACTCGGTGGGATGGAGGAGGGAGGGGTGGGAAACTACAAAGGAAAGGCCTGACCCAGCATCTCACCATAACCCACCAGCCTTGAACCGGCACTGCCCAGCATCCATTAGGCGCTCAATAAGTATCAGAAGACAGATAAGCGACAATCCAGAAGTCAGTCCCACGGGGAGTTATAAGGACACACTGTGGGGACGACGGGGGTCAGGACCTTTCTGAAAAGCACCTACCTGAGGCCCTTGAAGGAAGTGTTCTGCGACTCCCACCAGGAATGCTTTCAGTCTGTGAAACACAATATACATTTTATAGAATAGTATCCTAAGAATTACGACCCCATGAGGTTTTCACTGGAGTTACTGTACAGTCACTTAAATAATAGCAATAAAACCGAGAGGAAAAAAGTCTCTAACTTATTTTAGAAGAAAGATCAAAAAAGGTTATTGCTGTGTCTCTGGATTATTTAGTGGTCTTGTTAAGAACAAAATTACTGTAATTATACTACCTACAAATAGGATAAAATGGAAGCAATTAATTGATAAGATTCACATTTAAGTAGTCTACAGCTGTAGAACATTATTCTAAGAATTGTAAGTATATCTAGCTTCTACTTGAGCCACTGTATAATTTCTTAATTAATAAATAATTAAGCAATAAAACTAAGAGAACAAAATCAGTTACTTTAGTAGAAAGAGGGGAAAAGCACCTTATTATAGTCCTGTACCTTCAGAAGTATGCTGATTAGAAGGTGAGTCTGCTTACAGGATAATTCCCTTCTGTTTTCGGGTTTTGTAGATATGTGACTGCATCCAGCCTGTGCACCTTTCTTATCGCCTGTGTTGGTTGTGTTGGGCCAGGGAAATTCCTTAGGGGAGTGGACCTCCGGGGAGGTCTGTTCTCGCTTTCCAGAGGAAGGGAAAACAGGGTATCCTCAGGAACTGCCCCCTGGGGTTTCTCTGTCACATCTGACCTCTGAAGAGGGCACCTGGACTAGCAGCTCCCCTTTCAGGTGAGAGTGTGGAGTCAAAGAAAGTCCCGAAAGTCTTCCAGGGCAAGGAGCGCCAGGACAAGCTTTGCCTTGCAGCCTAAGTATGGAGTTGGCTGGCCGAGGAGACCCTTCCCCTGTGGGCTTGAACTTGTTGGGGCATCTGGTCTCCCCTGGGCACCAGGCCCAGGCTCCCCATGCCAAGACAGCCTCTGCTCCTCCTCTGGAAACTAGGCATCTGGAGGAGCCCCTGATGATTCTCTCGGGTTAACGTCACAGGGAGCTGGGCGAAGGGTTTATAGGAACATTGTACACTTGGGGCAACTCTTCTATAAATATAGAATCATTTCAAAACAAAAAAGTTTTTCTCTAAAGGCAATTCTTTTTCTCTGGTAACTTTCAGGATTTTTTCCCTTGTTTTTAGTTTTCAGCATTTTAATTATGGTATTTCTGGGTATATATTTTATTGAGTTTATCCTATTTGGGGTTTACTGACATATTTCTCTAATTTGGGGAAGTATTTGGGGGGGAGGTAATTAGGTTTATTTATTTATTTATTCTTTTTCAAGGGAGGTACTGGGGATTGAACCCAGGACCTCTTACATGCTAAGCATATGCTCTACCACTAAGCTGTACCATCCCCTGACTAATTTGGGGGAGTTTTCAGCCATTATTTCTTCACATTTTTTCCAGCATACATTCTTTTTCTTCTTCTTCGACTTCAGTGACATAAACAATGGATTTAAATTTTTT